AGAGAGAGAGAGAGAGAGAGAGAGAGACAGAGAGAGACAGAGACAGAGAGAGACAGAGAGACAGAGACAGAGACAGAGAGAGACAGAGACAGAGAGAGAGAGAGATTGATTTGGAACATGCTTTTAATTTTTACCTGAAATAAGCCTTATCAGAGACAGATTATTTTAAGGCACCTGTTTCCTTTATTGTTTAGCATCCAGGAGACACAGGTGATCAATTGCTGAGGGCTAACAGGAATAGATTGTTATATTAAAGTCTGTTTTTTGCAGAGCCCATACACTTGGGTCTGGAGGTGTAAATACCTTTGAACTGTTACTGTTCCTCACCACCTGGGTATATACTTGATGGTCCTTGGACTCCAGCTCTCTGGTGATCCTGTAACAATTAGCTGAGTAGTTAATTAGAAGAGGGAACCAGGAAGAGAAAAGCTTGTGGGTGAGACCTCATTCTTCTGGAATTGGGGACAAGGCAGTGGATCCTGGTGTCCTCTGGAACTTGAGAGAGAGAGCAGGGCCCTGTCTGTGTCACTGTGCATGAGGAGGAGAAGCACTTCTGACCGGGCTGGAGTGAGGCACATGGAGGGAGCAATGAAATGAAAGCTCCTACCTTAGCTGGAAACTCTTCCCATTAGGTACTCCTGAAAGGACAATTAAGTCTGGTGAAGTGGGTAAGGCTGTCCCCCTACCCCAACAATAGGGAAACAAGGAGAGGTGCGACCCCAAAACTCCCTCAGGACTGAGTAAGTGGCTCAGTGTCCAAAAGGAAGGAAAAGGATCGGGCCATGCTGCATCCTGGGTTCCCTGTGAGCCCATGGCCAAGCCTAGGAGGTCTGCTGGAGGCCTTTGATGTCCCCATGCCATGAGGTGCATGAGGACATTCTGCTGACCAGTTATCTCTCTAGGTGGCACTTTGAACAAGGCTCAATTGATGGCCCAAGTGGAGCAGGGCACTCACTAGCCCATGTGGCCTTCTCTACCACATTTAAAACAGGGACCTGGATGCTTATGCATCTGCTCGAACAGCATGTACCAGCATTTGGCAATTCTGTTCATGGGCTTTCTCATCTCTCCCATGGTACCTTAAATGCCACAGCTGAAACTTCTGCCTGTGGGGTGAAGAGGCCTTTTCTCCAGATGCTTAAGTTAGCCCTGATGTCAGGAAGCTCTGGGAAACATGAGACAGATTTTATTCCACGTCTTGATTTTTTTTGTTGTTGTTGTTGTTAGTTTGCTGGTTTTGAGGACAGCTTTGGGAAGACCTGCCAGGAGGCAGGCTCTAAACTGATCTCTTGCTAGAGAACCAAAATAGCTGAGTTATATAGGAACCTGGGCTGGGAAGGGAAGGGAAGGGAAGGGAAGGGAAGGGAAGGGAAGGGA